TATTGCTCGGAAAATAGAGTCTTTTAAGAAAATTTTGTGACACATCGACTGCAGCGCCACCTAACGGGTCCATTTGTGAATCCAAACCTTGCAGGATGTATATATATATGTGACGAGTGGGTACTCGTCACATATATGTATGTATATATATATATATATTAAATAAAACAATTTACACGCTTTTTCGACGTTTTTTATACCGTTTGTTAACTAATATATAACATTGCATAGTGAACTGTGAACTTGCTGACAATGAGACGGTTTCGGCATTGTTCTGGCTATGCTCTAAGCTTTATTAATTAACGATGGCCCACTCAGATATAGTAATTTCACAATTGTTCTCTTGTGAACCATACCAGCTGGCATCATATTGTAAGTGTCAAGATGCGTGATCAAATTCCTTGGGATAGAGAAATTCTTATGCAAATAACCTACTAGATGTTTTGGTTTGCCCTGATACTTTATATTTATCCTTCTTCTTTTTCTATCTTTTCTTGCCCAACAGTGGGAATAACGATAAAAAGGGCTGAATATAACACATTTGACATTTTAAATAATAGAAGATACATATCTCTCCCGTGACCAGACGAAGAAATTTATACATATAATAAAATTGTAACTAAGTCGAATCTGTACATTAAATATTTTTTGGAAAATCTAATTGAAATAGACATTATTATCGATACAGAGTCCGAATCTATAGTTTTTAGAATTTTCGTCTGTCTGTCTGTTACCGCATCACGAGAAAACCACTGGACAGATTTTGATGAAATTTGGTATGATGATAGCTGGTTATCCGGGTCTACATATAGGATACTTTTTACCGCGGGAAAATATCTCGTTTTTGAGAAAAATAACAAAAACTGCAATGTAAGAGTATACTAATATGTAAAACCTAAGAATTTGGTATTTGGTCAACTCAACGCGGGCGGAGCCGCAGGCAATGCTAGTTCGTATATAAAACGCAATCAGTGAGTTAATTTAGCCTATACATATAGACATTAACCCGTTCTTTTTTTCAAATCAAACCAAATCAGAATATACTTTATTCAAATAGACTTTTACATGCACTTTTGGGACGTCACTTTTTACATTTTTTAAATTTATATTAAATATCAGTATGTAAGTCCATGATGAATCTACCACCGACTCGGAAGGCAATTTTCTAAATGCACTACCAATATATGTAGTCTTTTGGCACTGCTATGTATCAAAGCTAAGAAATATAAATATTGCCACTGAATTTAAACGTCTGCAAATATTGTATGAACAACCTAAAAACCCGCTCTACGTTTGCGATATTTAAATAATTTTAATCAAAAATCAATATACACGAGATAAAAGCACTAAAATGCTGTAGTGTACGATAATATCCACTAAATCGATAAGTAAAATAAACATCTAACATTCGGTCTACGACGCCTTCCGGTGGCTACTGAGTTTTCTCACGATGATATTACAATATGAATAAAAACTTTATAATTACAAGAAGCTCAGTCATTAACAGTGAAAGTGGAAAGAACTTTCGCTAGAGACACATAATTACGTCTATATTTCATTGCAAGGTCTAACTAGAGCTAGCCCTCAGTTTTACTTAAAATCTATATAATAAAAGAAAGTCGTGTTAGTTACACTATTTATAAATCAAGAACGGCTGAACCGATTTGGCTGAAAATTGGTGGGGAGGTAGCTTAGAACCAGGAAACAGACATAGGATTTTTATCCCGTTCGACCGCGTTCCCGTGTGACGTGACATAAAACTCAAGAACGGCTGGACCAATTTTTATGATATTTGAATTTTTGGATTTTTCTTAGTCCGGAATAGGATAATAAGTAATAAAACATCAGAAAAATTAACGAAAAACAATTAAAATTTATATGGCTAACGCTGGATAATAACTATTTATATCTATTTAAAACGTACCTAGTGACGACCCGAGCGAAGCGAGGGTGAGCAGCTAGTTTTAAATAAATAAAAAGAAAACTATGTATATAGACGAGTACGAACGAGATAGAAAAACTAAATGTTTTTTTTTTTATATTTAAATAAAATATTGTATTTGAAATGTTTGGAACAAATGTAAATATTATTTTTTATATTTTAATACTTTACATGTGTCATCAAAATGACAATTTTTTTGAATATTTTTATTGATTTACATGTAATTATAACTAGCCGCTGCCCGCGATTCCGCTGGTAGGTATCTCTGTCTGTGCCAAATTTCATGAAAATCTATACAGCACTTTAAGCGTGAAAATGTAGTATTTTTGTCTTATAGGGTATTTCTCAATTTAGAAAAAGCTTATCGTTAACAGGAAACGTTGATCGGCCCTTTATAAGATAATGATAACAGTTCTTCACACCAGAAAGAAAATATTACCTCATAATTTAACAACTAAGATTATACTTCATTAAAATAACAACATAATTTGACGACACGTTGGCTCAGTTTGTAGTGACCCTACTTGCTGTGCCAGCGGTCGTGGGTTTGAGTCCCGCTGGGATTTATTTGTGTGATGAGCACGAATGTTTGTACTCCAGTCATAAGTGTTTATATTTATAATATGAATGTATTTAAAAGTTATACATATATGTGTAGTGTATCAACTATCTGGCATCCATAACACAAGCCTCGTAGCTTACCATGGAACTAGATGGTGCTGTGTGTTAATGTCCCAACATATTTGTTTATCTTATGGCCATTCATAAAGCTCTAAATTTCTAAATCAGCTTAAACTTTCATATGAAAGTTACTTACATTTAAATTATTCTGAAAACAAATATCATATCCCGATCACGTACAATTAAAGCAAGATAAATAAAGCCTAAAAACTGTTTCTATCACAACTAAAGAAAAGAAAAAAAAGAAAAGAAAAAACGAAAGAAAAAGAAGAAAATGAAAGAAAATAAAGATTTTTTTTTTAATTTTAGAAACATGACTGTGACTATTTACAATATTATTATTTACATTTATATAGTAAAATTATTAAGTAACCATTATAAGGCGGAAAGTCTAAAAAATAAATGCAACTTGAAAGGAAGTGAAAATAATGACGCGATCGCTTAACAACAGATGGTTGATGGGAAAATATAAATGGTTTGTACTGTTTATATATGAAGTTGATATTTATATTTACTTTTTAATATTGTTTTTTTTTTGACGACACGTTTGGCTCAGTTTGTAGTGACCCTACTTATTGAACAAGCGGTCGCGGGTTCGAGTCCCGCTGGGGGCATTCATTTGTGTGATGAGCACTAATGTTTCCAGTCATGGGTGTTTATATTTATAATATGTATGTATTTAGTGTTACATATGTGTAGTGTATCAACTATCTGGTATCCATAACACAAGCCTCGTAGCTTACCATGGAACTAGATGGTGCTGTGTGTAATAATATCCCAACATATCCCAACAAATATTTTGATCAGAAAAACCTTTACATGACAAAACTAAGTAAGTTTTTGCGATTTGCTTCGTTTTATCGCTTTAATTAAGTTAACTTCACTATGTAATCGAATCTTGGATATCGATTTTTATCTACTATTAATTATAGTATTCATTCGGATCTTTCTAATATGTGAAATCAAGTGACAATACAATAAATCGATCCTATTTATATCTAAGTTCTTGAAATATTGTAATATTTTATTAGAACTAATGTTTTACTGATATTAAAGCATTGTTAAGTAACTTAAGATAAAATTTTCAAAAAAAGCTGTGTTTAGTGATACGAAACTTTTATCATTATTTGTATATTTTTCACTTTCTCAGCGTTTTTTTTTAAACCATAAATGTTATTTTTTTGCATAATATTTACCTCTCTCGATAATAGAACTCACTACTTCTTTAGTATAGGTAGCAGTATATTAACATATTTATGTAACCACAGACAAGTATATAAGGCCCACATATTTCCACAGGTACAACGTCCTACATTACGAAAGGTCCGTGTGAATCGGTTTGAATCATACATTTTAATATCTATATGCAATCCTCTAACTAGATGTGTTTCCGTTTAAAAATATTAATCGTTACAAACTATATATATATATATATATATATATATATATATATATATATATATATATATATATATATATATATATATATATATATATATATATATATTTGACTATTTGGTAAATGTCAAATGCAAATTTTTCTTATAATATAAGCAAAAAAATGTGTTTTAATTGTTTTTTTGGATATTTTAATTAGTTTTCAAGCACAGTACCTATAGGTGTAAGGGGAAGGTATCATTCTAAGTTTTTTTATATAAGTTTTATCACATTTTACACACCTTCAATCAACTAGTAAGACATGTACTGATATAAAAAGAGTTCATTCTCACTACGGGAATGACGATACGACCATCCAATATTTAAAGTAAGTAGGTACCTATGTACATGTGTTTTTGCGCTCAGACGCATTTATGTATAATATTTTCTTATATATAAACTTTATATAATATGGAATACTCAATAATATACATAGCATTCTAAAATCCTTTCAAAAACAAAATTTCCCAATACCGTGGATTTATACCAAATAAACTAAAGGCCCTCGTACAATTACGAATACCGCAAACGAACTGACCAGTTGCTCAATCTATTGTTAAACGCTTGAAATACTCGATTGTAGTGTATTTTACTACTAATTAATGATAGGTTGATGATAATGAATAGCTATAGAATTTTGGCGATTACTAGAATTTGAAATTTATTAGTTTTAAACTAATATTTCTTTAACTTGATTGCCACTTACGGTGAAGGAAAACATCGTAATGAAACCTGGATGTCTAAGAGAACCTAACAAATTTTCGAAAGACATGTAAAATCCACCTGTACTTGGCCAGCATGGTGGACTATAGCCTGATTCCCCTTATACTGAAGAAAGACCCGTACCCAGCAGTGGGACCTTAGTAAGGGCTGAATACACTACAATAAAATACAATAAACGAAGGCGGTCTAAATTAAATAAATATTAATTATCACTCACGGTGCGATGTGAGAGATCGGTAACGGAGTCGTGTCGGTTTTCCAAGCTCCCGAGGCTGCAGCAAGAGGCAGAGGACGACAGACTGACTGAGTCTGCGCGCGCGCGGTGCGGCGACACCGCCACGTGCTTCAGCATGCCTATATTGTACCTGAGAAGGAGATAAGTATTAAATAACTATAGTTATTGTAGTCAAATTGATTTTATAAATGCCACAATTTAAATAAAACTATCTTTTCGGGTTTTTTTGTGTATTTTTTTTTATTTTTACTTCCCGACGTTTTGAGTGATTTACTGCAATCATGCTCACGGGAAAGACTACTAAAGTCTGAAAAGTCTGAAAAGATAGATTTATTTGTAGTATAAAATATTCGCACAGACAAGAGATAAGGTACTTACTTGTATGTAAGTTAATTAGATTTTCGGTCGGAAATTACTTACTATAACTAAAAGTGATGTTTCTACGTGTACATTTATAGCAATTTTAAACACATCTTAAACAACATTATAATTTTCTAACAGATCTTCAACGAGCTTTAAGCTTTAATACTAAAACATTCCACAGTATCTAAAATCCTTGAAAAACCTAAATATCCTTGAAAAACTTGGCATTTTTTTCTTTACCAATGTAACTTTATTCATAGAATTCTTTCGGTTCACATACTTTGTCTCTTATAACAAAAGTCCACATTTTGCATCCTCTTAATAATAAAACAAAGTAAGCAGACCGCACGTGCTGCATTATTTAAGGGTAGCGTTCTGTTTGGTTAGGAAGCGGCCGCGTCTTCCGAGAACCTTCTACCTGATAAACGTATACTATTATATATTAAAGTACCATAAGTTACCATGTATTATACATCTGAATTGGCGCCAGACTATAAAATATCAGTATTTAAAAGTCCGTCCTAAGAACTTAGTGAATACTAAGAAATATATGGAAATATGAATTTAAATCTGAATATACGTCTATTTATAGAACAATCCATACTAATATTATAAATGTGAAAGTTTGTGAGTATGGATGTTTGTTACACTTTCACGCCAGAACGACTGAACGGATCTGGATAAAATTGGGCACAGAGATGTGTTATTCCAGACTATAATCTAGTCTGGAATTACACATAAGCTATTTTTTATCCCGGAATAATATACGGGTCCCGTGGGATAGATGTGTTTTTGTCTAGTAGTTTTCTAATATCTCATAATCTGAATATGTAATTCTTAAATATAGTTTTGAAATTCCATAAGCGATATGGATTTTAGAAAACTATCAATTCTGGCTAGTATTTAAATAAAAAATTAGGTTTATTTTTAAATGACAACTTAATTATGTATACTTAGTACAACAGCTAAGTTTAATTTGGTCAAGCAAAATAACCCACAAGGGAAATTACGTAAAAATCATCAATGCTCTTATTCATGAAAACCAATACAATTCTTAGAAAGAAACAAGCTAATATAAAAACAGTACATAATATAATAAAAATTAACATCCAATATTTTATATTTATAATGTTTATATGTGTGTATGTATATTGTATGTATGTATGTATGTATGTATGTAGTATGTATGTAATTGTATATATCTGTTTGTCTATGTACATATTCCATTGTATCTCTCTTTAAGATTGTTTGCACCCCTTCCTTCTATCTTCTTTCTCTCTACCCAAAGGTTGCCTAGAATAGATCGCTCTCTAGCGATAAGGCCGCCTATTGTACTACATATATTTCTTTAATCTGTTTCAACTAAAGAATGTAAAATAATGGTGTGCAATAAAGAATATTTCATTTTCATTTTCGTCCTCATATATGTAGAGTATGTAATTATAAGTTATTTATTGCACAAATTATAAAGGTCGAGTAATGGGAACTTCGCATCTGCCGCGTTACCGTGACCTTTGACGACCACTTCATCATTTATTGCTTACACTTGCAAAATTACATTAATATTGTTATTATCAAGATTTATTATTGTAGTTGTACATCCAATCAATATATCCAATGAAACAAAAAATATTAGAGCCTCAAGCCAGAGAAGCGAGAATAAGTCATTAGATATGACAAAACAGATGTAAATGTTGTCTTTTTGTTATGTTTAAACTCTTAAATTCCATAGTATATAACTTTCCTTAATAAATTGGACTACTATTAAAAATGTGAAAATTTGTATATCTGTACGTGTGTATCTTTGTTACTCCTACATGCTGAAACGGCTGAACTGATTTGAATGAAATATAATACTCGTACATAGATACTAGATAGGCTACCTGGAATAACAAATAGACTATTAGGTATGTAGGGACGCACCCGAGCAAAGTGAGGGTAAGTCGCTAGTCTGTACATATAATAAAAGTGTAACTAAGCCGAACCTTTACATTAAATATTTTTTCGAAAATCTTATTGAAATAGACATTGTTATCGATACAGAGGCCGAATCTATAGATTTTACAATTTTTGTCTGTCTGTCTGTGACCGCAGCACGGAAAACCACTGGACTTTTGATGAAATTTAGTATGATAATAGCTGGTTTTCCGGGTTAACGTATATGTTACTTTTTACTGCGGGAAAATATCTCATCTCTGAGAAATCTATACTAAACTATAAAATGCAAAAATATCATTTTTAAATCTTTGTTGAAACTTAAAATTTTACTTAAAAAGGTGTATGTATAAATTGAGAAGGGCTGCCAGATCGTATAATTGGATATGAAAATTGTAAAATATGGTTATTTTATGTATATTTCATTTTAAGTTATTACGTATTTTTATTGAAATATTTTTATTCGTCACAGACTATTTCTCAACAGTTTTCTTAATTTGTATAATAAAATTTGATTTGGTAGAATTTGAGTGAGCCAGCGGTATAAAATAAGTTTGCTCTACTGGCAGCAGTTGTCTCTACTGGCAGCCCTGGAATTGAGGCCGATTTGAACAATGTAGTTTTTGATATTTTATTGGTGTAACAAATTCTAATATACAATCCATGATAATATGTATTAATAATTTATTTATCCGCGAAGGTTGAATTAAGAAAATTGCCTTGTTTTGTTATACAATATAAGTGCTACCACTTTATCCGACTTCAAAAAAGGAAGAGTGGTAAAAATAGTAGTTTTTAAAGTTTATAATTTTTGAACTAAAGTAAATCTATAGTAAGACAAAACGTACTGCGGCTGAGATAGAAATCTCGAGCAGCGCTGATATGATATATTGTAAGCATTTTCATTGTTCCCATTTTAATGAATATCGTTATAATTTTATAGTTATCCTATAATATATATATATATATATATATATATATATAACTAATTGCTCCCAGTCAAAACAAAATATATTTTTGTCTCTCCATAACATAGCAGTTTTTAATAGCAGCATTAACCTTTACTTGTTACACAAACAAATTACAGGTAATTTTGCGAAATGGCCATCATTGCACTTCTGGTACTTATTATATGAAGTTGAACTGTATAACGTGTTTCGTAATAACAAAGAGCACGTAACTTATATCATCCATTGATTAATTTTTAAATATCTCAATTAACAGACTTTACGATTTTATTATATAAAAGTTGTTGAATTATTCTGAGAAAATAAAAAAAATGTGTGATAAGCCAGTTTTTGACTCATTTCAGAATAAAGGAATGCAATTTGAGTGTCTGTTTGATTTTGTGAATGCTATACAATATCTGCACCAACCAATATCGAATAGATTATAATTCCTAAGGGTGAAAAAATCATCTCCGAAACGTGGAATTATTATTTTAAGTAGTTTTGAAATAAATTAACTGTTTAGTTAAAATATCGTTTAAAATATAAATAAATAAAAATAAATATTTTGGGACATTAACACAGCACCATCTCGTTTCGTGGTAAGCTACAAGGCTTGTGTCATGGATACCAAATAGTTGATACACTACATATGTATAAACTTTAAATATATATATATATTATCCATAACACAACCCTCGTAGTTTACCATGGAACTAGATGGTACTGTGTGTTAAGGTCCTTTTTTTTGTTATCGCTGGGGAAACCCATCATGGGGACCCTACCGGCCGTCAATGGATAGGGTATTGTGAGACTCCTACTCACTAAAACCCACAGCGGAACCCGTCGCCACAGTGCAATGGGGCGTTGCAGGATCGCTTGTGTGTGTTAAAGTCCTAACATATCTATTTTATATTTATTTTATTTACTTTTATTAAAATAAAGTGCATCGAAAGCGTTACAAAAGATCAAGAAATATATCATAGGCAACGTTAACATGTAGTTAACATTTGGTTCTTAATTCGAGTTACAAAACTCCGAACAATGGGTACGCCCACTCGCTCAGCGAGCACCGTGAACTACATGACAGCCCGAATACATTCATACAGAGATCAATATCAATTAAACTATACTTATAGATTCAGTCTCGTAGGGTGGTCTTATGACTCTGCCTTTTAAGCAAAAGGTCGTAGGTTTGATTCCCGCGTAGGCACATTTTAAGTCTTTTCATATAAAAACTTGGAAAGGTGAAAACATTTTGTCTCGCTTTCTATTAGATGAGAGAAAATATAAAAGACATAAATCAAAACATTTAGCTTATAGCCTAAACTAAGATATAAAGCTAAAGAATTTATTTTACTGTTTGTTTGTATGAACGAGCTGATCTGGAACTGCCAGTTTGATTTGAAAATTTCTTTCTGCATTTGATCACTTATTTAAGAAAGATCACGGTATATCAATATCGCGATACAACCCTTAGGAGCACTTATATACAAATAAAACTACGCGACTATGATCTATCTAGACGAAAATGTACTGATTCTTATCCAATAATGAACAGACTCAACTCTCTAAATATGCCAATATCTCGATAGGTTTCGGCTTATACAAAACAAATTATAATTTACATATTACCAAGCAAATATACTTCGAGTAGTAAATAAACGTGTGACAGGCTATAAACCCCCAAATTAGGACGTATCGAAAATGGTATTCTCGAATATGGTCGAACAGCTGCTTGCAACTTTCGTATAAACAAATTTTAATTGCTTTTAAAGCATTGAATTTATTTTATGACAATGACACAAATTATAATAATTGGTCAAGTGCGAGTCGGAATTCTGCATCGAGATTGTCTGTTATGTTACTTCC